AACAGAGTTTTGTATGGGCTGCAGATAATTTAATATTTGAGAAGCCTTTTCAACGTTCTCCAACTGCAACCAAAACTAAAGCAATAGGGGAAAAAAATAAATGAGTAAGCAAATAAAAAATAAAACCCAGTATCTATATAACTATCCACAGATCAAACAATTTAGGGACAATAAAATAGAACAGCATTTCAGCTAATTCAAATTCAAAATAGTGGGACAACCATTCACTAATCTAGCAACAACAACTCCGGCTAATTTTACCGTTAACATATTGGGGATAATTGCCTTATCAGTCAAAAGACTTAAAATCAATTCTGTTCAAGTTGATTAATCTCAGGCACCGAAAACTGAGCATGAAACCTTCTTGATTTGCTCTAATCCTCCTTTCCCCACATAAACAAGCATAATGCCCAGTTTCTGAGTCCTTGGAAGAGCAGGAAAACACAATAATGTCAATGTAGAAAGGATACCACCAGGGATTTGTCTGCCCTTTTCTTCTGACAACAGACCCATTTCATTTTGGAGAACTGCTCCTCCCACAGGCCAACCTTAATCCCAACCCTAACCATCCCTGCCCATCGGGGCCCCTGCTCACACAGGCTGGCTCCTACCCCCGCTGGACCAATCACTGTCCTCAGCACCCTCCCATAGCGTTTGGTGCAGCAATGGGCTCACTGTGCAGGTCAGGCCATTAGACGCTTTCCTGAAATTCTCTCTACTACAATCCTTTCAGGAACAAAACAGAATTTAAGCCCAGAGCTCCTTGGATCTAGCCTCAGAGAGAAGGCAGCCCAAGAGCACGGATCTACCATGTGAAGAGATGTACAGAGAAGCTTAAGGATGAGTGGGGAGACTTCCAGCAAAGATCTAGACCGCAAGTCCCGTTCTCCCAATGGCTACCTGCCCTCTGCCCTTGCTACAGCGTGGCTATAAAAACCAATACATTTTCCTTTAAGCTTAAGTGAGTTTGAGTTGGTGTTATTATTTGCACCCTAGGAGTCCTGACTTGTGCAGACAGTAACTTCTTAGGTTTGGGAATTCTGGGTTGTCTTTCTACTCCTTGTTCTCGGGGCACTGCCTTTGCAGCCCACGGGAGTGACTCCTGGGGTCTTGTTTCTGCTCTGGGACCTGTTCCTCTTCCTGAGCCTCACTGGTCCAAGGGTAGCACACAGGGCAATTAGTTTCCAGACCTCCGGAAATTAAGGTTTTGATCTGAGAGAGAGGTTGTGGGGTTCTTCGAACAGTGGTCCTCCAGAGGGACAGGAAGGCATTCTCGGAGACACCATGGTTCTGGGCTTTTCAGAGGTTTAGTTGCTCAGCCCCATCCATACTGAGTTCCATGAGCTGCCCCAGGCCTTCCAAGACATTCTACCCTGTCTTTCTTCCTTCCCCACCACTCCCCTTCAGCTGACTGCAATTGGTTTCCTCTTCAAACCAAGAGAACATGAAATTATACACAAAAAGTTGTTTCTGTAAATCATTGGTTAGGACACTTTTCACTATGGGAAATGTAAGACTTCAATAAAAATCAGTTGAGCAATAACGAACTTTTTACCTTGAACAACAAGCCTAGAGGCAGTGTGGCCCCAGGTGTGGTGGATCAGCAGCTCAAGGATGTCATCAGGGCCGCCATGTTTTATTTCCATGTTTTGCCATGAACAGTACTGACTTCTCTCAAAGGTTAGTTCCCTTAGGGTCCCCAGATGGCTGCCACTCACAGTTGGGGCTACCTGGGTCATACTTCACATCCAGCAGGAGATGGAGACACTCCTAATATCCTGGCAGTGGTGTGAGAGCTGCTCTAAGAAATTTTTAAGAGTCAGAACTAATTCAGCTTGGTGACTGCCTGGCTGAGGAGTGTGGGAAGGGAGGAGCTAGGGCGGCGCCCAGCTTTCTTGCCGAGGCATCTTGGTGGATGGAGACACCCTTCTCTGAGGTGCAGCCAGAGCTGGTTTGGCAGGACAGTGACCCCACGTGTGGGTTCGCTGCCTCCTCAGGCTTCATTCAGGCCTGCCCAGGAGTCAGCTTGGGGCCTGTCCCCAAAGCCTTGACTTCAGCGAGCAAACCACTCACCTCTGACAAGGAGTGATTTCTCAAGGGGTGAGATAAGTAAATTTCTGTTCTCCTTGAATTGCTTCTGCTTCATGGGCAGAGAACCATTTGCATGAAGCAGGCAGCCCCCTGAATGACATGCGAGCTGTTTGTGTCCTCGCTGCACACCATTAGAGGATTCATGCTGTGGACATGGCGGGTGTCTACATAGCATCTGTCTCCACCTGCCTGCCACCTGCCTGCTCCAGTCTGGTTCAGGCACAGGCTCGTGGCCAGTTCTAGAGGATAATTAGTCTAATCATGGCTCTCAACCCTGGCTGCACATAGAAATCTACAGAGGATCTTTGAACAAATACCAATGCTTAGGGTGTGTGTGTGTGTGTGTGTGTGTGTGTGTGTGTGTGTGTGTGTGTGATTTCCACTCTTCAGTTATTGTGAATAATGCTGCTGGTATGAATGTGGGTGTCCAAATACCCCCAGGGATATTTTTACAAAGCTTTCCATGGGATGAGAATACACAGTCAGGGTTGAGAACCATTAGCTCATGGCAGTTCCTGGCGACCGCAAGGGGTCTGGGGGAGAGGCATGCCCCCTTAGTCGGCCTGATCAAGCTGCTCCAGGCTAATTATCAGCAGCTCATACCTCTGTCACCATCAACACTCAGGGACCCAGAAGGGTGAGGTAGGTTTTGTTTACTTCCATATCTCAATGATCAAGCTCCCGGCCTGGCACCCTGCAGCAAACTACTGAGTTGCTGTTGAAGGAAGAAGACTTCCAATCTATTATTTAACTGGATCTTACTATTAAAACCAACTGCCCCCTTCAGCTGCTAGAAATTATGTGCCATCGAACCCTGGGCCATGCGTCTGTCTCCACTCGGGCCTGGGCCTGAGTCAGGGTTTCAGACCTTTATAAAATAAAATTGCACTTGTGGAAGGAGCCCCGGGGGGAGGAGTGGGCAATGGGGGCACAGGGTAGGGGTGGAAGTTGCTACAGCTTCGCTCCAGTTTCTTCTGGGACAGATGCTCCAAAAGGAGCTGCTGTGCCCATTCCCTGCAGCTGAATGAGAGGCTTAAGTAATCTTCCCCACAAATACCTGCTTCCCTATCCCCATAAAACACTTGAAAAAGAAAAGCCAGACACGAAGCTGTGTTTCTCGTGAGGTGGGTTTTCTGTGATCTCTACTCACGTCTGCAGCCCCACGTCCTCGTATTTACGCTGCTTCTCATGTTGACCTGAATTCTCACGATCATTTTTTTAATGACAGCCTATGGAAATTTTAAAAAGTAGCCCCAGATAAAAGAAATGCCAAAACACCCGCGAGACTTCTGCCTGGTTCCATTTTTAAGTCTGTGGACGTATTTGGAGAGAACCTCTTTCTAATGCGAAGCAGTAGTGTGGCAAATCAAGAATGCTCTCCTCTCTGTTCCCCTGTGGGCTCAGAAGCCAGATGCGCCGGGTGACGGGACGAGGACAGCAAGGACACATCTCGGGAGGGAGAGGAGCCAGGCCCCTAACTGCTCCTGCAGAACCTTCCAGATCTGGTCAGGCCGGAGTGAGGATGGGGCGAGAGAAGCAGCGGCGGGCAAATTCAGGGGCAGAGCTGGACCTTAGTTGAAATGTGGATTTTTTTAAAAAAAGATTTTATTTATTTGACAGAGAGAAAGAGAGAGAACGCAAACAGGGGGAGTGGGAGAGGAGAGGGAGAAGCAGGCTCCCCGCGGAGCAGGGAGCCCGACGTGGGGCTCGATCCCAGGACCCTGGGATCATGACCTGAGCTGAAGGCAGACACTTAACCGACTGAGCTGCCCAGGCGCCCCGGATGTTTGGTTTAACATGGAAACTTTTCACATTCATTTTGATTTAAAATCTTTCACCTTGGTCGCGGAGCTGTCTGGCATGCCGTTTGTGCCTTACTTCCCTCACCAAGGCCCAGCCCCAACTCCAATGGCTCTCGGCTTCCCCTTGCTTTTCCTTGAGTTAGGGTGTGCATTTTCATGAGGGAAGCAAGATGTCTCTCTCTGAGTCTCGTGTAGCCATAAGCTTGTTTTCTCTCCGCTTATTTCCTCGCTACCCGTTCACCTCTGCTGCTTCTGCCCTTCCCAACCCTCCCTGCCACCCTTCTGGCAACTGCCAACACCAGGCACCGGGAGGAGAAACAAGAGGGGGGCCTTTTCTAACAGTTTTTGAGCTTCATATGGAGAGTACAACAAATAGCAAGGGCCCATTCCTTTCTAGAGACATCTTTCTTAGGCCAGTTATGATGATCAGTAGTGCCCCGTGGTAAACCATAGCCAGCCTTGTGCTCTGGAACCTCAAGGCAACTGGCTAATACACCAGGAAATAGAGCTCTGAGGTGATTTTAACTGTGCTAACCAGAGCAGCCCTTGAAATTCTGAATATGGTAAAAGGGTAGCTGAACTTTTAAATGCAGGTGGGTCTCTCTGTGCCCACCACGGCCCCCAGCCCAGAACAGTACAGAAGGAAGCGAACCCATGATTCTGAGCTCTTTTGACCCAGTGGGACCCCTTCTCTAAAAGGGCAGCTGAGATCCTTAAAAATCCAGGCCTGTCTGTGTGAGGGCCTAAGTGGGGAACCCTATCCACTCACTCGTCTCCTTGACCCTGGGTGTTTTTCCTGCACTACTTCTGCATCATCAGTAAACCAACATGAACCTAAATGACTGAGCCTCTGTTGCCATTCTAGCCAATCTTCCAAGTCACGAGGGTCTAGCCCAGGTGAGCCTCCTTGATATTATCTTAATGATTCATTATGATGATGATGATGATGATGATGATGCAGGGGCCACAACATAATTACTTACCTCATGGGCCTGATGGGAAATATAATTACACATGCAAACAGCTGTAGAAGTGTGAAGAACACACTGATACATCGGCCGCAGGGTTATTGGGACAGTCACCCAAAGACCTGACCGCAGGACTTACCAGCACCGTGTGCATCCCGGTGTACAGTCTGCTGAGACACACCAAGGTGGAAAACACCACAGCCATCAGCAGTCCCAAAGCAAAGGGATACTGTGGGGGGAGAAGAGAAAACAAGGCCATGAGATCATGCTCACACGGTTTGACACGGTGGGAGGAAAGGGTTCCCACCCAACGACTGCTAGCCTCACCCTCAGTTTCCCCAGAGCGGCAGTCTGATGGTCTCAAACCACTTGAAAAGTGGGAAAAAGAGCAAAAAGAAGGGGAAGATGCCTATGACATCGTTAGAACTTGGCTTAAGGCCTCATGACCACAGACATGGTGTGGATAGTTTTCGTGAAGTAAATCATTCTTTACTTCAACCTATTCGTCGCCCAACATGTATGAAGTGTAGAGTATGGAGCGAGGGGCGAGGTAGATGGGACAGTCCCATCACCCGGAAGTGCAACCGACAACTTCCTCATTGAGCGCTGGGTGGTAAAGCTTGGCAACCACTGGCTTCCTAAGGAAGCCCAGCCAGGCTAAGAACGGGCACCTTTACATACAGATGTTGAGGCAAAAATCCAGACTTTACTACATCTCATCATTTGCTGGTGGGTAACTACAGCAACCAGAGGAATCTGGCTACTGCTGAGTCCTATAAGGAGCACAGGGGTATTCTGCTTATAAACGAAGACGTAGAGACATAATCCATGTGCTTCAAGCACTAACACCTGTGGTGTCCCATGGTGAAAAGAATAAAGATGGCAGAGAGCTGTCTACGTTGTGTGAAGCACTTTAGAGTCACCCCCTCCTCCCATCTTCGCACAACCCTATGAAGTGGGTTCTATCATTAGCTCCATTCCACAGCTGAGGAAATCCTTAACCTAGATAATTAGTTACGTCGCTATTAAACTTTAGCACACAGACGCTGATAGAAGAAACGCAAATCATCCCATTTGGTCCTCACAACAGGAGCTGGCCCCAGAGAGGCCAAATGACCTGCCCAAGGTCACTCAGTCCGTAAAGGGTAAGAGTCAGAACCAGAAGCCCCCTCTTCTGAATCCAAGCCCAGCACCTTCTTTCTGATGCAAGATGGGAGTACAATTATACATGGTCGTAGGTCTTTTCTTAATATTTATCATTAACCGTGTCTTGGATTTTAATTTAAGAAAAAGGGTTAGAAATGAATGAGTTAATGTTTTCAAAAATTAGAGTCTGGGCATTAGCCTGCACACACAGTCATATAAATAAGCCATATTTAGAACTGTTTACAGCAAATAACCCAAATAGCTAAATATATTTATCATTAAAAATTGAATAACAGCTCAGGCTGAAAACTGCTGCATCATATGAGCTGAAAAGAGTTTTTTGAGAAGGACCAGGAGGCCTTGAAATGAGTCTATAAACAGTGGTTGTTGCTGTGTTCTTGCAGTCAGCTGCTACTTGGGGCTTTTTTCCTGCACAATGCCTCTCTGGATGCTGAGAGCAGCCCGATGGGGGCCGGCCTTGGGCCGCCCGTGTCCTTCTGGGGCAGATGCCCTGTGTACGACGTAGCTCCTAAGTCTGCATTAAGTGAACTCAGACAGTCCTGGAGATCGCAGACATTTCTGATCTTGGCATGACACGTAAGTAAGTTACAATAGATTATAATATACCTAGTTGGACATACTCCTTAGACCCATCCCTTTCCCATCCAGGAAACTGAGGTCTGACCCCCAGGTGACTAGGCAGAAGACCATAGAGGTAGAGCCAGGACCCAACACTAATCTTGTCTTTGTCCAACGGCATCAGGCGGACTCCCCTAGTTCTGCACAACCTGGAGCACAAAATGTGCTCCCGTGTTTTGAGGATGAAGGGACGAGGCGAAACAGTACTGTCTTTTACATACAAGGTGGTTAAGTTTAATGAAATCTGAATTGTCTGGAGAGTAAAAGGTACTATTTATTAAATGAAACACAAACTTGGAGCAAAACTTCTCAGGCAAAAAAGACTTCACTGCAGTACTAGTGCAACTTTTAAAAGGTCTGACTGTAACTGGCATCTAAGCAGATTATTAATTAAGTGACGTTCTTCTATTTGCAACATTTATCAACCTGCTGTCCCTTAGAGTACTCTAGAAAACATGGAGCCATTATTTCTAGTGGTTGAGCCCCAACCGGGGGCAGAGGCATCCTTGGGAACCAATGTGGGGCCCAGACTCTTTCCTGTCCCGGGCCCTGGGGAATCTAGCAGGAGGATTTATCTGGGGGAATCATCTCCGTCCTGGAGGACCAATGATGAGGATCCTAAGCTCCTCCCGTCTGCTACAAACAAGAAGATGAGAGAAGCGATAATGTGCGGTCTAGTTGGGCAGCTCAGGGTGACGATGCTCCGCTGGGGAGACTCCACACCCTGGTTCCTGGGGCAGTCCATGTTGTCTCGTGGTGGGGGTGTTGTTCCTGCGGGTATCACTTTCACCACGAGGCATGGCCTCATTTGGACGCTAAGCCATGTGTCACTTTCTCTATAAAGAAATTATCACTGATGGCTCAATACATTTCGATCCCCCATAGTCTTCATTTCATAAACCTCAAAGTTCCTCAAAAAGGAAAATTTTGAAGCAAAACCTCTTTTTGCTGCCTCACTGCATGGATGAGGTTAAACGGGAGGAAGAGGAGTCGGGCCTCACCTGGTATCTGTCCATAGTAGAGATGAGGAGGGTGAAGGATATGGCCGTGGCCGCCATGGCGTGGGTGGACGGCATTCCGTACTCATCAATCACCCTTTTCTCCAGCTTTACCACAGGTGGGGAGAGGGGACGAGGCCACTTCAAGATGTCCTTGGCCACCTGGCCAATATACATCACCAACTGCAAAACCAAAGGGCTGAGGTGAGTCCAACCAAACAAGTAAAACCCCTAGATGGTGCAAATTTATTTTGGGGTTCCCAGTCTGTTGGCTGAAATCACCATCCTCTCTGACCCAGCTACCAGCTGGGAAAGTTTTGTAGGATGCTATTTTAGTCTGTAAAAAGAGAAACAGACCTTTTGAATTCCAGAAGACCACTGGGCCAGTAAGACATGACATTAACACATCTTCTTTTCTTTTCTTTTCTTTTTTTTTTTTTGAGATTTATTTATTTTAGAGAGGGAGAGAGAGTGCAGGAGTTGGGGGGTGGGGTAGGGCAGAGGGAGAGAATCTTGAGCAGACTCCGAGCTAAGCGTGAAGCCCAAGGTGGAGCTTGATGCCACGACCCTGAAATCACGACCCCAAGTGAGACCAAGAGTCAGATGCTTAACCGACTATACCACCCAGGCGCCTCGACATTAACACATACCTAAATTTTAGTGATATACTTAACAAGCATTTCTATACGTCGTATGCATGCCAGGTACTGTTCTAAGAGCTTTACAAATATTCATTCACTTAATCCAGTAACACCAGAGAATGCAGATCCATTTTATGGAGGAATAACCACTGTATATAGTAAGTGGAGGACCAGATTTGAAACCAGGGAGTTTTGCTTCAAAATCTGTGGCTGATGCTACCATGATAATACCTCAAAACCCAGGACAGTTCTCAAATCAGACAGTCTTCGTTTTCAAGTTTTAACCAGAAAAGCAACTGTTCTGAAGTTCTGCTTAAAAAAGTTTTGAATGCCACTGTTATTCCTGATGCATGTAGGTAACATACTGGATAAAATTTAATTTCTTTCAGTCATCAGGAGCATCAGTAAAATAAATGGCATGAATATTTTCAACCCTAAAATAAAGACAACTCAATCTACAGTTTTTTCAAATGATTTTCATGATGTTTCATGATGACATGAACGAAAAAACTGCCCCCCCTTTTTTTTAGAACACAAGATAGAAATCAGAATTTGGCTTCTGTATCCTTCAGAGATGAACCAGGACTATTAACCACAGACTCATTTTGTCAGAGAACTTTACAGGATGATTTCGGGATCGGTGATAAAGAGAGAAGAGCAACCCATTCCCCCAAGTCTGCATTTGCAGCTTGAAGTGTGGTCTGAGGGTGGGCGGCGTGCACACCACCTGGGCACTGGTTTCAAAGGCAGAATCTCAGGCCCCAGCCTCCTGGACAGACGGAGTTAGAACCCCATTGTCACAAGACTCCCAGATGGTTCGTGTGCACACGAGAATCCGAGGAGCCCTGTTTGACACTATGTTCTCGCCTGGGTCCCTTTGTCATGGGCTTTAATCATAAACCTAACCCTAATTGATTTTACTAGGGCTTTATTTAGCTCGTGATGGATGGAGTTACCTTGCTTTGGAACAAAACCCACGAGGAAGGACTATTTCAAAATAACGTTCATTAGTCAGCCAGAGTGCTTTAGGGTTTCCACATTCTGGTGCTTTCTTTTAACTTGTTTATTTCGGAGCATTATTCTAGCGTACGCACATCCCCCAGAAGGCGCTGCTTATGTTTTCTGCTCCGCTGCCATTTTGCTCTGGGTTAAAAAACCAAGAGCCACTGTCTGTGCACAGCAGGCCAAATCCACAGGCTTTTCAGTGACAATCACTGAATTCCATAGCTGTGATTTCTAATCGGACTTTGAAATTCAACCTCTTTACCATCCCCTTATTACCAGGAACTACTGTCCTGGAAACCAACTCACTCTTTCATGTTTCTGCCTCCCTCCTGTGAACCTGTAAAAACCACATCAGACTGACAATTATGTGTGCAGTTGGAAAGCTCACAGCCATCACTGACTACCAGGAATGTCGCAGAAGCTTCTTGAGATGGATTTCTCAACACTGTCCCTTCCCCACTCACCAGCAAAAATAAAACACGGCTGGTGTAATAACTCTAGTTTGTTCAGAAATTCTTGAAATCCTCAGACAGGGACCCTTAATATCATTAGGTGAAGACAGCCAGGGAGGCCTTCAGACAAATTTTTAAATTTCCTTGAAGTTGACAAATCCCTCTGACTTCATTTCTATTCTGCCTTCTGTGTTTGAAGGATGTTCTTAAGAATATGGACAATTGTTCATTTTCTTTCAACAATATCACCACAGCATCACATTGTATCTGATCAATAGATTTCAAGTAACAGTTACCGTAATGACAGCTCTCCTAAAAAAAAAAAAATAGGGTTATATTTTTCAAGCCCTAAGAATGGAGTACCACTCGTGGGTTGGGGAGTCTCTGCCTTTGCTTTCACTACAGCAAAGCAATGATGTGTCGAGCCCTGGGTTAGGTTTCAAGTCCGTGAGTGGAGAAAACTGTCGCATAAACAGAAGATCTGTTTCAAATATGCTTTGAAAAAAATTATCCAACGAATTCTCTGGATATGTACATGTGCAGAGACAGAATGGAAGAAGCCAGAACAAAAAACAAAGAAAAAAGAAGTACATACTTATAAAATTCTTGAAAGTGGCTTAACTTTATAGGACAGAAAGCAGACGGATGGTTGCCGGGAAAGGGGTGGGGCGAGGAAGAAATCACAAATGGGCATGAGGATGTTTTTAGGGGTGATGGATATCTATCTTAACAACTGTGATGATTTCAGGGACATGTACATATGCCAAAATATTCCAACTCGTACGTTTTAAATATGTGTAAAGTTTGTGAACACACGAAGAATTGTGGAATTGGACATTTTCAATGGGTGAATTGTATGGTATGTGCATTATACCCCAATAAAGCTGTAAAAGACATGCAATTTACTGTATGTCGATCACATCACAAAAAGTGGCTGTCTTAGCTTGGGTTGCCATAACAACCAAACATAGACTGGTGGCTTATAAACAATGGGAATCTACTTCTTACATTCTGGAGGATGGAAAGTCCGAGATCAAGGCGCCAGCAGATTTGGGGTCTGGTGGGGACCTGCTTCCTGGTTCACAGACAGCCATCTTCCTGCTCGGTCGTCACCTGGCAGAAGGAGTGAGGGAGCTCTCTGGGATCCTTTTTACAAGGGGCACTAATCCTATTCATGAGGGCTCCACCCTCATGACCAAAGCACCTCCCAAAGCCTCCACCTCCTAATACCATTCCATTGAGCACTAGGTTTCAACATGTCAACATTTCCAAAGTTCTCTCAAGGATGAGGAGGTGTGGGGGGGTGGGCCTGGCCATGAGACACTGTGTAGAAGGGCATCTAGGTCTTCAGTCCATTGGAGGTTCGGGGAAGAGGTGTAGCCAGACCTGATCTGTCCTCCGGTGTCCTGGGCAGAGTGGGGGCAAAGACATCAAGACTAGAGGGAAGGAGACCAGGTAAGAGAATATTACAAAATCCAGGTGAGAGAGAAAAGTAGGATCAAGGTCAGCAAAAGTGGGGCAGCAGACAGATTAAAAAAAAATTTTTTTTTTAAGCTGGAAGAATGTTGGATAGGTTTATGTGTTGGAAGAATGGCAAGTAGAAATTATTTAAATAAGAGAGAAAAAAATCCAGATATTGATGGACTAGGAACCCAGAGGTGATCGTGTATTTGGAAATGTTTAAGTTCAGAAGAGCTAAACCACTGGTCCTCATAAGGGACATATGGTTTCCCGGGAGACACTCTTGGTTAGCTCGATGATGGTAGGCCCTGCCGGCGTGAAGAGGGCAGGAGGCCAGGGGTGTGGTGCGCCACTCACACACAAGATGGCGCTGTTCTCGAACACCGTTTTCTGTCTCTAACATGACTCTGGAGGGCTCTACCAGACATTCTTGCAGGTGAACACCTCTCTGTAATCCTCTGGACGGAGAGCCTAAGTCTGTGATACAAGTCAACACCAAATATTTTTTGCAAGGTTTGAACATGCACCGAAGGTTCTGAGAACGTAAACACCAAGTAAACAGAGGGAAGACTGAAGTTCGGTTTGTTTGGAACTGTATCTAGAATGGCTCACCGTTTGGAGAAACTGGGTCACCGATGGAAATGCTGCTTGTTGTGTTTGGGACTCTAATGTCACATGCCCACGTCCACGCCACTGTAGTTGACGCACAGGGACACTGTGTATAGGTTCAAGGATCCTACTACCCTACGCGGACAGGCCCCAGAATTTGCTTATTTTAAAAGCCACCTTCTTATTACAAGGCAGATTTTTAGAAATTATGTAAGTAGGTCATATTTTCGATGCATCTCATTTAAGGAAAGCAACAGGGGCACTACAATACATTTAGAATATAAAAGGAGGTGATACTATGCTAAGTTTAGGAAGACAGACACAAAAGACCACATATTGCATGATTCCATTTATACGAAATGGCCAGAATAGGCAGATCCAGAGAGACAGAAAATAGATTAGTGGTTGGCTAGGCCTTGGAGGCCAGATGTCTGTAATCAAGGTGCCAACAGGGCCACACTCCCAGGGGGTTCTCTCGGGCAGAGTCCTTTCTTTGCCTCTTCTAGTTTCTGGTGGCCACAGGCCCTCCTGGGCTTGTGGCCACATTCCTCCAGTCTCTGCCCCTGTGATCACACTGCCTCTCCCCCATCCTTCTGTCTCCTGCTTTTCTGTCCATCTCAACTCTCCCTCTGCCTTTTTCTTATAAGGGCACTTGCCATTGGATTGAAGGCCCACTCACATATCCAAGGTAATCTCCTCATCTCAAGATCCTTAACCAAATTACCTCTCCCATTATTCTTTTTCTAAAAAAGATATTCTTTTTCTAAAAAAGATCCCATATAATTGGATGTAGACGTATCTTTTTGAAGACTGCCATTTAATCCGCTATATTCAGCAAATAGTGTGTGAATGACAGGCACTGTGCTGGATTGGGGATCACCATGAAGAACAAGGTAGACGAGGTCTTTGTTCTCATGGAGCCTATGAATCGAAACATTAGCAGAAAGTATGCTTAGCTTCTTTGCATTTTATTTGCTTCAATAAAACAGCATTGTCCTGCTTAAAAAAAAAAACA